GTGAGGTCAAATCTTAACCACAAATTAAAAGATAAATTAGGAAATTTATAATTTTGGTAATTTTTAATTAAAAATTTAATGCAAGGGCATTTTAAGTATTTTCTCTCATCTCTTCTCACTCCGTCCCCCGACCTACGGCCACCGTCCTCCAGTGATACCACAATGATATCACAATGCATCTTATATGTGATTGGGTATCAAACTGTGATTGTTTGTGCGGTCGATCGGATATGTAATACAATGGTATCATAATGCATCTTATATGTGCTTGAGTATCACACTGTGGTATCACCGGAGGACGGTGGCCGGAAGACGGGGACAGAGAGAGTAGAGAATACCTAAAATGTTATTGTATTAATATTTTAATAAAAAATTACCAAAATTATAAATTTCTTAATTTATCTATTGATTTGTAGTTAAGATTGGATCTCACGATTATAATTATCTTTACAGTTGACCGTTGTTCCATCAAGGGTTGACCTATAACCATCTCAGTGTATGAACGTATATATTATAAATTTAAAGTTTTCAATAACGTAAATACAATAAAACATGTTACTATAAAAATAATACATACCTTTTTCTGAGGGGACAAGTTATATATATATATATATATATATATATATATATAGGGGCTTAGTCAAATGAGAACTGAATACTTTGTGGTAACTGTGAAGTACAATCTTAACCACAAATCAACGGATAAATTAGGAAATTAATAATTATGGTAGTTTGAGTTGAAATTATAATTAGAGGGCATATTAGGTATTTTTAAAAAGCTCCTCTCTTCTCTCTCATCTCTTCGACCTCCAATCTCCGGCCTTCGGTGAAATCGGTATCACAGTATATCACAATGGGTATCACATTGTGTATCTTTGCGATTACTTGGTACCTGCCGGATTAATGTTCACCAGAGGCCGGAGATTGGAGGTCGGAGAGAGGAGAGAGGAGTTTTTAAAAAATACCTAATATGCTCTCTAATTATAATTTTAACTCAAACTACCATAATTATTAATTTCATAATTCATCCGTTGATTTATGGTTGAGATTAGATCTCACAGTTATCACAAACTAATCAGTTTTGTCTTGAATAACCCATATATACATCAATATAGGGAGCAGGAGAGTTATATGAGCAGCCTTTTTTCTTTTGATATCCCAATTTCAGAAACGTTTTTTGTGATAATAAAAAGTAATAATGGGTTAGAAAGGATAAGAAGACCAATTTGAACTTATTTATTATAAATGAGAAGAACGTGGCTCATATTGTATTGCAGTAAGTAAGATTAAATAAAAACTCAATTAAAAATGGGTTAAAAGTGGTTACAAATTTCTACAAAAGAATCAAATTCATTATTTTAGCAAGTATAGATTATTTATGGGCTGTCTCCAGTTAAATAAACGGGCATATCGATTAACAAAAAAAACACATGTAATTAGTCAATTAGCTTTCAAAAGATTCCTAGCTTTAGTAGGTGGTGGACGACCAAAGTCAGGTGTACAACTCCTCCATATATATATATATATATATATATATATATATATATATATATATATATATATATATATAGGGACTTAATCGTTCAAAATATGAATGTTTATTGAGGTTTTTTCGGATTTTTTTTTCATTATTTTACCACTTTAACTAGTTGTACAAATCATAAGAATGTATCCAACAGGTTTTAGAAAAGTCCAAGGAGTTATTTAACATGATTTGGATTGTCCAAATACTTATTTGTTCCAAAAATTGTCCAAGGATTTATTTGTTCAAAAAATTGTCCAATGAGTTATTTAACATGTTAAAATTGTCCAAGGACTTATTTGTTTGAAAAAATTGTCCAAGGACTTATTTGTTTGAAAAAATTGTCCAATGAGTTATTTAACATGTTTTGGAATGTCAAAGAACTTATTTGTTCCAAAAAATTGTTTAAGGACTTAATCATTCTAAACACTAAAGTCCATTGGGTTTTTTTTAGACTTTTCCCATATATATATATGCAACTCTTTACATTTGTATAACCAATACAACTCAATCTCAACAGTCCATTTAGTTTGATGAATATGTAATTTAATAAAAGTTTTGATTATTTTCTAATATAAAATATTGATCATAATTAATGAACCCGAGTCATCTTTCATAAATATTCGAATCATAATAAATGAACTCTCATCATTTTCATAAATATCTCAATTAATTGGGTTGAATTAGTTGTACAAATGTGATGAATTGCATTTCAAACGTACTCTCCCTCTCTCTCTCTATATATATAAATATATATATCGTGCGAGAAGGAAAGTTATGGTGAGAAACATAAGAAGAGATCTGAACCCTAACTCATCCACTGATTCTTTCCATTTCGTTGCATCCAAGATTTTTGTTCCGACAATCATGTGAAGAATGAAATTTCGATTTTTGGCAAGTCTCATCAAGAAATGGCAGATTTATTCACTCTATCAATAACCGAGCCGGATCTGATTTGGTACAACTCTCGTGACCCGCACCCAAACAGTGCTTTACACTTAGATGTCCAGTCATCTCAAATAGTCAATTGTTAAGACCCAAATTCTCTCATTTAGGAGTTCAGTTCACGATTTTCTCAAAATTCAAGATTTTTTCCTTTTATTTATCTCGTTCTTATACAAATCTTGTGAAATTAGAGATTTTCCATCAGTCACACGATTTAATTAGGAAATTCTAGTGATTTCAATATAATTAATGTCAAGATTTAAAAAATAACAGTAGTTTAAAAAACCACAGAGTTGAAGTTTAAAATTTATACCATAGGGTTTTTCCACTAATAATTTCAAAGATCATATAAAATTAGTCATACAAGTCGATACTAATTATCATACTATAAAAAAAGAATTTTTGGTTTGAGCTTGGCTCCAAAGGTCAAAAGTACCTGAAGATCCCATGTTCAAATTCAAGGAGAAATAAAAATCATCTTGTGACCACAGACGTTCAAATACGATGACTCCGAGCTATCTACAAAACAAGTGGTCATTCTGGAATTAATCGGATCACATAACAGGTTGGATATCCAGGTTAATCAAAAAAGAAAAGAATTTAAATTTAATTTTATATTTATGTACCTAACGTTACAGTGTCTTGTGATGAGAAACGTACAAAAGAATATATAAATACATATCTACCCCATTTTGTTTTCATTGGATTCATTTGTTAACTCACAATCACATGCATTGTCGTTCTCAATGTGGGTACATGTTATGTTAGGAATGTTTAAATTGCTTATTTTATTATTTTTTATTATTATATTAATCACCTCCAAAAAAAAAATAGAGAATGACAACCAATAATTTGTTTGTATTTGTATTATTGTATCAATTATTTTATTTTTGTTATTTATAGTGATTAATATTAATTAAAGCATGAAAGCAACCTGTCTTTTCTTTATCTTTGTTACAAAAGTTGCATATAAAGTAATGGTCGGTAAGTTTAGTGTCATCAGTCATTTTGGTGTGATTTGTGATTTATTTAAGATCTGTTAGGGAATAAGGGGAAATATAAGCGAGTTTGGAGGTACGGAGTGCACATTCACAAATGTCGTCTTAAGGAGGGGGTCAAGGGGGTTGCACCCCTTTACGGGGTATGGCGGTGGTTTACTTAAATTTTTTTTAAGTTTCGTGACGTTTTGGACGTGATTCTAAAGGTTGGAAATCTTCTTAAAATAGAT